TCCGATCTCCCCAAAACCCCAAAACCCCAAAGCTGTAAAATTAAGTGAATTAATGAAATTAAGAAATATCTAGATTTCAATTGAATGAAATCGATCATTTATGATGGTTATCATTAGTTTTATTTGTTTGTATGCCAAAGAATGATCCTGTACTATTGAAATTTGATTAAATTTTTGAAGATTAATTTGGAGTTTAAAGGTTTGTGACCTTAACTTTAATGAAATTAGGAGTGGCATTTGTTGTAATTTCTTCAACTTTCAATTTAATATGCTCTTTAATATTCTTTTCTTAGAATTGTCCGACATTAGGATGGATGATAAGCTATTCAACATCAACATTTTCAGGTGCTTTCATGCCATTTTTCTCTTCCCACATTACCTTAATAATTCTTTCTCTGTAATTCTTCATGTATTTCAAAGACTCTGTTACTAATACTTACGAAAGATACAGAAGAGTAGAATTTACTTCACCAATATTTCTCTCAATTGCATATATCCTGTCATACCAGTATTCTTTTTATTCAACATGTTCCATTCTATCCAAGTATTCTTAACTTGAATAAATTTCATTAATATATAGCTTTAGCTGCGCTGCTTAAATATCGAATTGCTCTTGGAATTTCTGAACTGGGCCTCTAAAAGGTAGCTTTCCAAAAATATCTCTAGCTGCTTTAGTCTAGAAAATATCAGAATCCTTTATTATTTCGTGGAATTGTTGATATCTGATCACAACAGTTTCTTCTTCTTTACAGCCTTCTTAGAATAACTTCAGTAGATCTCTCTTTGAAATAATGATATGTTCTCTTAGTTCATTTAGCATCCTTAGAGTATCACCTCCTAGGATTTCAAGAGTAATATAAAGCTCATTATAGGTCATTTAGTTTTTTTCATATAAGGTGTAAGAGAAGTAAATCAACTAAGGTTTGTTAATAAGATCTACATGAAATTTTATAAAACTTCTAATCATAAAGTCCATGTACTTATCCAAATCAATAGATTATTACCTAGTCTTCTAGCCTTTAATTTTGAGCTTTTCAATTCTGCTTCTAAGTTCAAGAATGATTTCTGTAGGAAGCATCATTTCAAGTTTATCTTTCATAACCTCAACTGCTTTTGTTAAGGAAATTGATTCTCTATCTGTTTTCTCATCGTATTCTGATTTTAAACCTATGTTGCATTTTTCAATAGCATCTACAACAGCGACATAAAAATTAGTAACTTCATTTGAAAAAGGCTTTTCATTTATATGCATGAATGAGCAGCAAAGATTTATTTTAATATGTTAGTTCATATGATAGTAAGCTGATGCTACAAATTAAATAAATGCCTTCTTTGCCATCTTGCTATGTCCAAATTTTTTCTAGCATTCATCATAAATAAATTCTGTAAGCAAATATTCTTTATTCTGAATCTTTGCTGCATAAAACTATCTTATCATTTTAATAACTGTTTTTAGACCTAACTTAGCATAATTTCTCTTTTTCTTGTCATTATAACTATTAAATTTCTATGTAAATCCCCTAACTAATGGACCTAGTTATTTAAATGGACCAATCTTAAAGAGCTTTTGCTAAATATGCTAAAGTATGCCTTATCTCTTTTCAGATTGGGATAGAAATGTGTTGAGAACAGGTGTGAGAATATTTACATCAAGCCCCTTATCCTTGGCTTCTTAATAAATCTTTCTAACTCCATTTTTGAAGCCATCGTCAAAACCAAATGACCAACCTTCTTTTAATCCTAACTAGAAGCCCTCTTATATCCCATAATCTTTACTTTCAACAGCACCTTTAAAATATCCAGAGGACATTCCTCTTTCAAATCCAATGACAAACCCTTTATGCCAAGAATTTATCCATAGATCAAATTACTAAACAAATCTATCCTTTTATTTATAATTAACATCAAGCTAATCCTCTAATTATGTTTTCCTTTCTTCCAATGTTGAAACATATTCCTCTAATTCTCTAATCTTATACAAAAGCTCTTTTAAAATGATATTGGATCTTTCTATTTCTAATTTTTGACCTTGAGTTTATTCCTATTAAGTGGATTATAAAATATTTTTACTTTTAACTTCTCTAGGATTGGATTCATAGGCTTCTCTTTTTTCTTTTTATCTGCATCTGGGTCAGGCTTTGGACCATTATAAATAAATTCCAGCTTCCTAATAATCTCAAAATCAGTCTCTAAATTAAGTTTAATAAAATTATAGTCAAACTACCTTTGTTAAATGTATATTTATGAAGTCTTTCTGCTTTTCGATCAAATTTATAAATCTCTGCTGGATATATTCCACATTCTAAAAAGTCAATTGCTAGCAAAGAATCAGTCTGACAACCCATATCTCTTGGCTTAGAGAGAAGATAAGAAGGCAAATGATAGTTCCCGTGATTTTTTAATTCATTTCTTTGTATTAGTGGAGAGTCATTTCTGGATGTTTGAGTAGTATAGGCCCCTTCTCTCACAGTATCTTGCCCAAAGATCTACTCTATTACCATTGTCTTAATTTCATCTTGTTCATTCTTTAGTATGTTTGTTACTACTAATTGCAAGAGCTACTTCTTGCTCATTTTATCAGAATTAATATTTTCTAAGATCATGTTCACAATGATACCTACTCTATCTTTAAAGGCATCAGTAGTTTGCTTTTCAAAATTTTCTCTTAATGGACTATCCTTTGCATTAAAGAAAATCATATTTTTATCATTAACTTTTTCATATTACTCATTTTCTTCAATATCTGATTCCTGTACAATAGCGAAATCCTCATTCTGAATGTTTTCAATGTTTTAGTCATCATTATCCTCCAGGAATTTCTTAAGCTCTTCCTTTTCTTTTTATTTTCTCAGGTTTGAATTATCATCATCCATGTCCTTTTTATGATCTTAAGAGTCATTTGATGATTCCATGCTTACAAGGACAATACCTCCTTGAGAGACATCTAACTATTCCACATTATCAAATTGCTCTAGGTTAAGATCAATTACTAGTTGCTTATTCTTTGGGGTTTCATCAGGTTTATGTTTGCTAAATTTATTCTGCTTCCTTTTTGGGGTTTCCGGATCTTCCCCTTATTTAATAATTTTAATTAGAGGTCTTTCTTTCACCTCAATCTGCATAGATCTAAAGTCACTTTCGTTTAAGATATCATCTTCTGGAAATTAGAGGCCTATGTCTTCAAAATTTCTGCTTGATTCACTTGATTTGCTTTTTGACAATACTTGCTTCTCAGTATATTAAGATTGAATAATGCCTCTGAGGAAACTAGATTCTCTATCCATTTTTTAAGTCTGTTGATTGAAAAGACTAATTTAATGATTGTACTATTAGGTTTATTGGTTATTCTATGGCTTCTTTTTAATTGAATCGAATTAACTATATTAAAATGTGTTTTACTTTAGCTTTGGTGTTATGGGCTCTACCATGACATTATTTCGATCGATTGATCTTAGTTATGCATTCTTACCAACAACTAATTATTCTACAGTTGAAAAATCATTATTTCCACTTCTTTCAAATTTTCTGGTATGCTAACCATATAATTATTGATGATTAGTTTATTCAGCAAGATTTTTTTGTCTGCTTTTTTGCTAGATCTCTATTTTTGGTTTTTCCTCTTCATCAACTTCAACTACCTTTTCATTGTTGTCCTTCATCATCATTCTAGTTTAAGTGGTCATCTATTCATCTGGATTATCAAAACCCTCGCTAGAAATAAATGAGTTATCTCCTTCTTCTATACCTCCTGAATCATCCAGTAATTTTTTCACTCTGCTTGCAATTCTTTACTTCAGTTACTCTTATAGTTATCTTAATTCAGCATTATCTGTTTGCTTAAAGAGTCTACTTCCACTTTTAGATTGCCAAATTTTCTTTGAAATACCAGCAACTGCTTTTGCCTAAAGCCCATTTGGATCTAAATTAGTCTCTGATTACCTATCTAAGTTTTTTAGGGTTTTCTTTTTTGAGAAATGTGAGACAGGTATAATAGGATTGTTTTCATGGTCATCGACTTAATTTATTTTAAATTTAAATTTGCTGTTGGCTGCTTTTAACTAATTACTTTTGATGATCAATGAATCTATAAGATGATTGTTTAACTTTTAAAATTGTTTCTTTTTTATCTTGACATCATTCAAATCCTTTAGTATTTATTCTATCTTTCCCGAAAGATCTAAGTTGATGTCCTATAGTTTCATTAGGCTTTTCTTAGACTCCATATTAGCGTTCTCAATGTCATGTATCTCTTTTTAGTGCTTCTCTTTTAACATGAATATATTAGATTTAGCTTTTAGATGAATCTGTCTTTTATCATATCTCAGCTAGTTGATAGTGTCTTGCTATATTCCTAATCTCATATTGACAACTTTCTAAAGCAAAAATCCTCTCTCTTAGCATTATATAGAGACTTAATTTAACAGTTCTCGTTATGTAAATTCTAGCAATTCTTATATTCTATTTGATTGACTCTTCTCTTTCTTGAGTTATCTCTAAGCTTCTTTTTCAAAATCATTGTCTTAATAAAGAAGCTTTTGTTCATTTTCGGTATCATCTTTTGACTTTAAAGATAAATACATGAGATTTGACAGGGATTCATCAAACCAATTAATAAGCATTTCAACCTATTGTCTACTTGAGGGCATACCAAAAGCTTACATCATGCCTTGATTTACTGGAAAAGTAAGAGGTAGTTTATGCTAAGTTTAGTTTTCCATGTAATCAAAGAGTCTTTTCTAGAATTATTAGAAAATGACATTCAGCTCATTATCATCTTAAATTTAATCGACCTACCTATTTTTCTTGTCTAGTTTGTATTTTTAGTAGTTTTCAATAAACAAAGGATATAGCATCATTCCAGATTAGGGTAAACTACTAGATTTCAATAATGACTTTGACGATTATAGTGGATTTATTGATTGCTTGATTTTGATTGACTCATTCATGGATCCTTAGCTTTCAATTGATACATTCGAATTTGCTCGTTGCTACTTAAATTCAACTTTTTGTTCAGTTATTATAGGGTAAATATTCCCTCCTTTCTCAAGTAAGGTATAATCTTTCTCCTCAACGATAATATTCTTAGAGGGAGAATCATCTCTTATTGTATTTTATTATGACTACTTAAGTTAGGCCTCTCGTAGGTATGACACATCTCTTGAACCCATTTTCACTCTATTCAATCTTCTATTTAGCTCTGAATTCTACTCTATTCTTTTAAGAGGAGATAATCTGCTTGTGAAAAAGCCACTACTTACAGTGGATAATCTTTAATGATGATTTTCAAGCTTTAAAATCTTTGAATACTTAGGCTGCCCTTAATTTTAATCTCTCATTTCTGCATCATCTTAATCAGTGTGCTAAGTGTCAACATAATGTTTTTTATCATGTAAATCAATCTTCTTCAATATCTCATTTTAGAATTTTGATGTTTCATTGTCTAACATTGAACCTGCTGCACTTTCTCTAAAAGTCATTAAAGGAATACCTACTCAATTTACTAGTCTAATAGATCCTCCTTATTTTTAAATAAAATCTGCACCTGTTTTACTAAAATTACTCGTATTTTTCTTTATTGCCCCTCTTTAAGTGCCTATATTTCTATTTACTATGAAATTAGTATCTCCAAGTGATATAGCTTTTTTGTGATTTCCTTTCTTTAAGAATTAAATTCTCTCTTTTTCAGGAGCAACAGCCTTCATTAGATAAGTATCATTGATTCAACTAAGACTTAGAGTTGTGTTAACATTAAATAGTTATTGCTATGAAGCATTTTATAAAGTTTGATCCATGATTTAAATATATGTATTTTAACTAATTAAGAATTGTTAAATTTCAAAATGGATAATAACAGTAGATTTAACCGCAGACGCAGAGTCAGTGGAATGATTGCCGATCTTTTCTTTCTTTCCCTCATAGGTGCAAATATTTACAATATATATTAAGATCAGGAGTATTGGAAGTAATCTCCAGAGCCGCTCTATATATTCTTAATCTTGCAGTTGATTCTAAAAATACTTTTAATTAGAGTCCCTATGACACACTTAAGGCCTAAAACTATGGATATAATAATCATTGCATTAATTTTTTGTCTGTTGGGCTCAACAATCTCAGGTTTAGTATGGTTTATTAAGATTAAAAATGAGGATGCGGAGTTCTTAACCACATAATACATGACTCAAACTATCCTACTACTCGCAATCCCTATTCTTGTAGCTATTCTCTTTTTAGTAATACTTTGCGTTGGTATATGCTTATTCATATTAGACATGAGAAGAAGGAATAGATTCCGTAGATTCCAAGATGATGAGGAGGTATTTGACCAGCAATAAATTGAGGTGATAGTAGAGACCTACATGCAAATGCTTGACTACTAGCAATATAACAAAGTCGAAGCTAAATATAATGATTGTGCTATATGTTTAAAGGATTTTGAACAAGGAGAAAGCTTGAGTCAAATACCTAACTGTGAGCACATCTTTCACGAGTCATGCTTAAGGAAATGGTTTAGATAATTGTAAATTTGCCCAATGTGCAGAGGGAATATTATCAAGATGCCTGGTGAAAGAAGATCTAATTTACAGAATAATCATGATCAAAGCATAAGACGTTTAGAGGATGCTAGATAAAGTAATTTAAGAGTTGAATAGATACAATAGTAGGTTAATTAAAACAGTATGATAGAACAGTAGGAATAATAAAATTTAAGATTGTCTTAATAGGAGATCCAATAGAATTAAGAGTCTTAAGAGGAAAGAATAAGGTCTGTGATTGTATCAGATGCATAGAATCTTCCTGTTCAGTAAAATAATTAACATGAATGAGTCGGCGATGACCAAATTAATGAATTTTTAATAAGTGATGTTTGTCTTAATCAACTATTTTTACTATGTATATCTGTAATTAATTTCTGCCAAATTTTATTTTTCTTAAATTTAAATATTTAAGAATAAATGGGGTTTTGGGGTTTTGGGGTTTTGGGGTTTTGGGG